TACCTAGGGCAGGAGCTCTGAATACTCAGTACAAAGGGTCAAGCACAGCTCACAGATAACTCCAAAATAGAAACAGTTCATTTGCCATGGCTAAATAGCCTGACCTTTCCCAAACCTCAGAAAAGTGGAATTCCATTTATATGCATACATGGGAACAACGGAACAGGCAAAGCCTTGGCTCACAGAATCGAAGGCAAAGTAATTAATGCATATGTATATATGGTTATTTTCTTGGAAAAAAAGGAACAAAGCAAAGCACAGAGTGTGTTCTATTTGCTGAATATTTCCTTTCTCAAAACAGACATAACATTATCACTATTCATCAAACAGATGACTGCATACCGAACAAGCACTCACAATTAAGATTTCAGATGGTGTTACAGTTCTATCGCATTTCCAGAAATCTTTTGCTCATCCTTACCAATGATGACAAAAAGTGTTTTACTTGAGAAAAACTTACTATGATTACAATTACAAAAGCAATGATATTTAATCTCAGTTTTAGTAACTAATTATTATGCTGTGCTCAGCTTTTCAGTATTAGAAAACATTTCTGTTTAAAAAGTTGTTAAATATAACAAGTAAATAACAGCAGAGCTGTTTTCTTTCACAAATATATACATATATATATATAAACTAGGTCTTAAACTATTAATAGCCTGTCTGTCTCTTTCATTAAAAAATGTCATGCTGAAATAGTGATCTTTGTATTCTTACAGTCCCAAAATGTAAGTGTAGTGGGGAAAAAAAATCAAACCTCAAAAAGTACACCAAAGCAACTAGATTAATTCTCACACAGTTCCTATAAAGTCATCACACTGGAGAATATCTAAAGTGTAAACTCAAAGATGTGTGACTTTTGACAACGTGTTTTTTTTGTATGCTTTTTTTTGTGCATGGTTCTCTGTATTAGAAGGTGGCGGATATGGCTCTACAGGAGCCTGGATGAAAGTCAGGGTGCCGGCAAGCCAGGCAGCGTCTCCCCTGCCTCCACCAGGCAGAACTGAGGGGCAGCCTGAGCCAGCCCGGCTCCGAACAGCCTCAGCCAGCCCTGCTCCAAACACTCTGCACCACCGCCCGCAGCAGCACGAGTGACACCGCTACATTTCCTGAGGAAGGGAACTTCACTCAGTGATTAACGTCCAGGCTTCCCTGAAGTTAATGAGACATGATTTCAATTTTAAATAAGTAAGGGTATCTGGCTATTAACCTCTTTTGTTCACAGTCGTGCCTGCAAAGTGAGAGTAATGGAATTTCTCTGGCTCCGTGGGTTGATGTGTGGTGGGACATTAACATCGGTGCAGCACCGAGAGTGCTGTGAAAGGCAGGTACTTAACTTCCTACCTTAAAAGCAAGGTAGAGACCTTGAGTCAACTGCTCTTTGTTAAAGTGCTGATTCTTTCATCTATTATAGAGGCAAAAAATGAAAAAAAAGGAGCATTAACGAATAAAAAAATGCACCACAGACACCGTATCACTAAGAAAGCCAGTAACTTTACTGATTTGTCTGCAAAATACAAATTATACCTTATTTCCAGCAGGAGAATCTTGAAATTTTCCCTTTTGTGTTCACTACAGACAGCTGAATTAAGTCCCTTGAGATACACAGATGTGGTTTAACTTAGTTATAACATCTTGTCATCTAGTGGCGACAAAGTCCAGCTTATGCCGCTGTGAGCCTCTATTTTAATATTTGTTGCAAATGCTTGCATGCCCCCATTTACAAGCTATTTTGTAATGATCATTGTTTTATGGAAACAAATTCCCAGGAAAAAAAGAAAAAGAAAAAAGAAAACAGGATACAACAAACCATCTGAAGCAATCCAAGTGTAATACCTGTGGTAACCCAGGTCTGCCATTAGTCACTCCACGAAAGACTCTGGTACTTCATTTTTTTATTTTTTAAATTAGTTACTAAACTGACCTCTTTGAATCAAACTGAGGTATGGATCAATCTGAGGTATGAGCAGGGAAGGTAAAAATACAACATCTGATTATGCAAATAATCAAATGGATACTTTTCATGCAGAATGTCTGTGGCTCGAAGCTTGGATTGCCCCACATCTTTGGTTAAAATATATTAACAAAAGCCTTTTATTACATCTACAGTCTGAAGCATTCTAACAGATACCAATGTTCCATCAGTCCTTCAAGAGACCTGTAGTGGCAGGAAATTAATGCCATATAACTGACGACATCACAGCAGATGGCACAAACAGCAACAGATGAAGTATGCCATGTTTAGGCAACAGCCTTTATTGAGGTTTAAAGTGGCTTTTAAAAAATTACAAAGCATTTACCTTCAAGGCGAAGGAAAAAGGACAACAAAACAGCTTTGTTAGGACTATAGATAAAAGGGAGTATATAGGATAACACATACAATACAAAAGGGTTGACATCCTGAAAACAGTCTAGGAGAGCGTTAATTCTTATGTTAGCTTTACCTGAAAAAGATCTGAGGACAACAGATATTCTTATATTATTCATTAAAAATTGCTAAATTCTTCTTTTGGGAAAAATATAAGCCATTTCATTATAAAACACAACTTTTGAAAAACATGGAAATGATAAAAGCTTTCCTGTGAATGGCTCAATGCATACAACATACAGATTGTGCAGATTGGGTATATCATGTAATTGTCACCAGCAATTAGACACTAACTGACAACATCTTTTAACAAAGGATTAATGTAGCTGTAACAATGCTTGGAGATGTCTCGAATGCCACTTCTGGTGTTTGAACTTGCAATTAAGAATGTTGCCTAAAACATTATATAGCATGGGTTAAGATAAAGTAAATGTTAATACTCTTTCAGGGCTCTGCCCCAAACTCCTTAAATACAAAGGAATCACACAATAAACCCAAATTAGCTTTGCAAATACAATACATGGTAAGGTACAGATAAAAGAACAGAGAAAGATAGACACTTATAGTTTACAGAAAGTGACTTCACAATCAAAGTTGTGCTTCTTTTCACTAGATCAGTTTACAAATATGCATTATCTCCCACTCTCTTGCCATCATATGTAAGTTGCCCTCAGTAGCAGGAACAAGAGGGATGACTGGCATCCATTTTCGTGTGATTCTTCTTGTGTTTGTATAAAAACCATTGTCAGAATTAATACAAATTGCCCAGGCAAAACTACTCTCTGGTTAGTTACTTGCAATAATGCATTACACCACATCTCCCTTAAAAATGCTATTTTTCCTTTCTCATGTGTTGCTGAGGCAAATTGCAAGGTAAACTATTAATATGGCTATTCTTCATATTTCAATAAACTGACTCCCCCACCCCCACTGACAAGTTTCTACTACAATACTGATAAAGTTGCACTTTTTTTTTATTGAAATGACAAGGTACATTTGTGATATAGTTGCATATTTTTGACACACCAAAGTTTAAAATTCTCAGAAAGAGAATATACGTTTATCTGAAGGTGAAGAAAGTGGTTTTGAAAAAACAGTTTTGTGTTTTAATATTAAGCATAGGCTCCATTTTCAATTAAAAAAAAACAACCCATGCATATCTGTTTCTTTGCCCTGTGGATCGCTACGTGAGAGAAGATGGAAGCATGAGGAACACAGTATTCTGCTTAAAGAGTTCCCAAATGATGCAGTCGCCCCTGCATGGCTGAGAGTTTCCTGGTGGGCAGGTGCATGTGAGGGGCAGTAAGGGAAAAGCAGAGGTTATAATGCACACTGTAGCCTGTTCGGCGGCGGCCACTACAGAGAGGTAGACTCTGCCACTGAGCACTGCGCAGCAGCTGCAGGTGGAAGTGGGAAATAGAGGGTGTATTTCCCATAACAGCATCTTCTGTGGGTGTTGCTGTTTAGCTCTTGCAGCTCTATCCTTCATCATAGTGTCAAAGTATGTAGGTGAGAGTTAGAACGCCTCTTGGAAAAGGAGAAATATTATCAGGTTTACTATGGCACTAATGTTTTGTTGGAACATTGTTTTTCCTCCAACAAAAAAAGATAAAACTGAATATACCATTTTCTTCTAATAAGCAACAGGGACAAAGAGGAACTTAAAACAAATGATCTATTCCTCCTGCTTAGGCGATTTTATTCAAAGGAGCACTATGAGGCAGGAGAGAATGTGGATGGCAGATGCTGACGCAGACCTTGCTGGGCTGTTACACACAGGGATCGCTGTTCAACAGTGTTCCCCTGTGGGCTAACACGACCACCAAGGTCCGGGAAAAAAGGGTGATGTGATGGCCAGTGTTGGCTGGGTAAAGTAAATCTACTTCTGAATGGCCCTGGATAATCTCTAAAATTTTCAAATCTGTGAGAGTAGGGAGTCATCTTTATAGTAGGTATGTTGGTGCCGATCCCTCACTTTTTACTCTTTCTTCCACTTCTGGAAATATTCACCTGCCTAACAGCTATAAGAGCTATATATATATCCCCTTCTAACAGGCAGAATACCAGCTTCACTAATGAGAAAGAGCCAAAGGATTCTGCTCTGTCATTTAACCCGTGAAAAACTACAAGATACGCAGGACGCAAGTAATAGAAAGGCCCTTAACTTGTTACAATGCACAAAACAGCATGAAAGAACTAATCAGTATATACAATGGATGGCAGTTCACCCAACTGATTGTAAAATGTTGTATTAAAAGGATTCAGGTTGTTACACCATGGGTAAATTCTAAGCTTTTACAGATCAGTCTTTCAACAGCTGACTCGGATCTGTAAAACGTATGCCCAGTAAAAGAAAACTGAAAGAAAACAGTTAAATGTGCAACTGCACAAATATAATCCCCCACTATTAAGATAACAAAAACTTTTGCTATTACCATAATTATTATATATATTAGAAAGCTATACACAAGCATGTTAATTTCACAGATTTTTTAAAAGATTCTTAATATTTTATATAATTAGAAATACACATTTCAAAAACAAAACTTCTGCAAAGAGAAAACAGTTATCTTGGTTAGCAAAGCATGGAGTTCTTCATGGCTTAGGGTAGTGCTTTCTATACAAAAAGTCCTCTCCAGGACTGTTTAAAAGATTAGCAAAGCTATCAAGGAAAAAAGAACACATTTTGGCTTAAGGAAACTACAAAAGCCACAAATGCTTTGCAAACTCTGTCTTATTTTTTAATATGAAAATAAGCAAAATGTAATGTACATATTTTTATATTTTTTATTAAATAAAGTGATGCAGACCCAGATTTTTTTTTAAATTAAATATGTTAGCCCTCAAACTCAACATTTTTACAAGTATGGTCCTCTTTAAATGTCTTTGATCCTTTTAAGTGAGTGCCATACTCTACTGATATGCCTGTGTGTTTGTGAGCATTTTAGGTATGTTAGGTGACCCAGTCTCTTGCTAGCATTGATTCACGGCCACCCAACGGTTGGGTCTGTCAAAACATCTGTACATTTTTCTATATGTTGCATAACAGCTGCTTTCTCTCTCAGTAAAGATCTGCCACTTCTGGCAAATGTTTTCCTTTTGTCTATTTACATGTAAATAACGTTGAACCTGCAACATGACACTAGCTATTGTAACATACATTTTGCAAGGGAGCACAACAGTGAAGTGAGCCTTAAAATCTATTTTGTACAAATGTTCTGTTGTACAACTCAAGTGCTAAGCTTATCTCAGCATTTCTGGTTATCCTTATACTGTATCACTGAGGCAATTTAAAAGTACTTTTACAAAACAGAGTACCTGACATTTTTTTCCCCACACACAGCACATATAATGCATATCGACCCTCCCCCCCCATTAAGGTATAGCACACACACACTGCAAGAAAAAAAACTAATAGGTAATAATGTTATCATGTCGCCCATCCTTCAGAGAGCCGCATGCGCTTGACAGAGGGGCTTTCCCTTTCGTCCGGCGAAGGTCTGGTGAGTCCAATGGGGGAGTGGAATTCGTTGCGGTGATCTTCTCGGTCGCTTCCGTCATACGAACTGCTACAGCTGCTCAGACTGTCAACGGGAGATCTCCCCGCCTCGTGGCGCGTGTGCTGTGGGTATCTCGAGGGGGTGGTGGTACGGTCTCTAGGAGGAGAAACAGGTTCTGACTTGATGTTGAGGCTTTGAGTAGAAGGCAGGGAGAGATTTGTACTCTGAGATAAATGAGTGCTAGTGCAAGCTCTGTAGGAGGAAAGGAAACCCAGTTACAGACTGAGGAGGCATGGAGCCCCCAGAAATGCACAAACACTCATACAAAACATCAGTGGAAAGGCTCACTCAGTACAGTGCATACGACGAATAAGAGCACTGTTTGCTGGGAGTATGGAGAAAAAATTTGGAGAGATGAAAGCACGTCAATGGACACCTCTGCTATGCCTCAGGATTTAAAGAAAGTCAACAAAGTCTCTCTCTTTCATACTCTTTTTTATTTGTTTTCTTTTCCTAAGTTTCATAACTGATTTTGGAAGGTGAGCCTTTGCACTGCTGGAATCACTGTAGGTTTCCATAAACTACTGTTCGTGTGTGCATGTGTGTGTGTGTGTGTGAGTGCACAGGGGAGGCCCCGCCTTTCTGCTGGGACTGAGCCCATTACTTCAAATGTGCCAAAGCACCTTCCTCATTGTGCATTTGGACACGTCACTGGTTGCAATTGAATTTGGGCTCCCTCTATTTCAGACCTTTTGGAATAGAGGTCCTTGGATCAATGTTAATACAATACTACAGAAGAGTAAGGATTTAGATATGATTTTGTGGTATAAATGGATGAATTCCTAAATGAAAACTACTTTTTTTTTTTAAATGAATAAACTTCCAGAAAGGACTATGAGTTGTGGAAAGTGTCAGAGGAATATGCTGATTTGCCCAACTCAGGGAGTATTTCGGACATCAAGAGAAAGTGTCACTCTGCAGCTTTTCAAATGGCACACTATGCACCTATTCTAAATTCATGTTCTTTATGTGAGTTTTTGTGAGCTTTTGTAAGCAGGCAGTGACAGAAGAAAGCTGAAGACAGAGAGGAGAGAAAGGACTGAGAGTACACATTATCTTGAGGAGAAAAATGTGATCACTAGCATCTGAAGAATGTTTTGCACAAAGGCACCACCTACTGGTAAAACCTGACTTTTTAGTATTAAAATACAGTTCTCAATATGCAATTCCCATTCTGTTCTTAGATGTTTTAGTGCTGGGACCACTTAGGAGGCTGAAGTTTCAGTCTAATTTGTGTCTAAGACACAGTTTCAAGTTTTCTAACAGTAGGGTTTTACACAGGGAGAGACTGAAGTTAGTAGGGGCAACAGGCCACTCTGCTACCAAAGACTTTAAAACCAAAGGGGTGTGCAGACATTTTTACAGCAAGCAGAAGACATTTGGGGATTTGGAAGTATGTTTGAGCTTGTAGAATAAATGGTTAAGTTCGGACATGGTCATTTCCATGTACTAAAATATTACACTTTTTTGATATCCCATTGACTAAGTCGTCAGTCGTTGAGTAAAAGTCTTGACTACAAAATCTACTACTACAAAAATCTACTACAATTACTTTCCAAAAAGCAAAATATTGTTTCATTTTGACAAATTTATACTTGAAATTATATGGCTTCACTATTGAATGATACCAACTGCTTTTATCATTGATTGTTGCAATGTTCAATAATGGATGGATCTTGTCAGACAACAGAGAAAATACCTCCAATTGCTTTTACCTACCCTGCTTTTGAATACAGAACAATTTGTCAAAATTTGCAGTGATCCTTTTCACAGGTCAGGATTAGAGAGTAGCAGAGAGTAACATCCCTCATCACAGAAAATGCAAGCAAAGTCCTTTCCAAGCAGGACTTTTTTTTTTTTTTTTTTGCTTTTCTAGGTATTAAGTAAGTACACATAAGAAACTGTAATATCAAACTCAGTCATTCCAATCTAGCGAAACATTCTATTCTTTTCTTGAAAACTTGTTGAAACAAATCCAACAAGAATAAAAATACAACCCTGGGTTTTCTTTTGCTTTTCATTTCCAGTGAATTTATTTTTCATTTACTTGAGAGATACTAGGACTGCACCTGTGAAAAAAAAAAAAAAAAGCTGCCCATTTAGCATATATGATAGGATGCATGACTTAAGGTGCAAAGCCTGCAGCTGAACCTGAAAGTCCCTAATACAGCATGGTGGAACTTGAGGATTTGGTTTCCAGGTGTTTCATATGAGTTTGTGACATGCCACTTAGCAACATCTAAGAAACTTACAAACCCATGCTAGTTAAAACAATCAGATCAGTCAAATTTGCTCGTATGGAACATACTTGACTTTACATGCAGTCTATTCTGTTACAGTCGCCACAGGAACAAATCTAGAGTGACAAGCTGCTTTTTCCAAGAAACACAGCCAGTATTGTTACATTGCAATGATACATTTTAAAATGTGTTTCAGAAGTGAGTATGAAAATGCATCTCTACAGATTTTTCTTTGGATTCTTTGAGATTTATTACTGAGATTATCTACATAACTCGCATACAAATTTGCAGTCTTAAGAAATAGTGGTTGGCCTGCAATTGGAACGTATTTTTTTGTAAACTGAAAAAATAATTTCGGACAGGACTACATTTTTGAAGTTTAAAACAGTATAAATATTAAAGCAACTAATACGAATCATAATTCAAAATTTTCATTTAAGCTGATTTTTCAAAAATCCATTTGTGCTAGAATTATTTCCAAAATGAGTTCCAAAATGAGGTATGGTGACTGTAATTTACATTATTTGGTTAAAATTTCTGAAACAATTTACCAAATTTCATGTAAGCTGATAAAGCTAATTATGGTAAGGCTAATAAACCTATTGTTACACATCAGTGAGAATGGTAAAAGAGTACTTACTTAGCTGCAGTCTTTAGTCTTGTATTCTAAATAGAAGATTGATCTCTATTTAGAATGGAAGCTTTCTATATAGTAAAAAACGCAGATATCTTTTTGCTACTCAATTCTACGTGTGTGTGTTTGAGTGTGGATACAGCTGGTTCTGCATATTTTTTACAAAGTTGCTTCATATAAATATGTAATTTTTGTTGAGGCATTTTATCATCTGTAAGTTCACTGAAAGCCAGATGGGTTTTGAATATGGTAAGCCCATGGAGAAAATAAAGCAAATTACTTGCAGATAAACACTCAGTAAGTGCCACAGAGGCTGTTCACATTAATGTGATCACTTTTCCTCATACATTGTACAGAAACATTGCATTTTATGGGGACAGTGGGGAATAGTAAAGTTTTAATTTTACACAGCAGTTCATATTCAGATCAGTATGAGTGAAAATCTCCCTATTATTTAGAACAGAGCAACCACAGGGGAGGAATGCTGGTTCCTATCTGGATTCAACATTATGCATCTGCCTGGCTCTGCTGTCTAACAAGTGCAATGCAAGTCAGGATGCAACAAGCCACAAGTGGGTTTAGTTCTTGATGCCCCTGAAATCAGATCTGCTTGGGATTCAAATCTCCAACTGGTTCTGAAGCTCAGTATGCACAGATAGAAGGGCAGGTCTGACTAGATGGACAGTGATGACATGAAATGCATCAAATGGATTTTTATAGAAGGAAAAGGACCTCTACTGAAAGAAGAAAAAGTATCACATATATTTTTGCACTCATTTGTTTCTCCAACTTAGCTTACCTCATCACTTTCAATATTATTTTGTTTTTGTTCTTAAATGTCCATACAGAATGACAGAAGCAACACTGGATATTTACAATAAACTTTAGTTTTGTCTATACCTTACAGAACACTGGATATTTTTGACTTCTGAATAATTTGCAAGAATATCCCCTCCCTGTTTTTCTCCCAGGTAAAAGCAAAATGTGTTTTTTTGGTCTTCTTTTCTTTCAGATTTTTTGATGAATGTAAAAAAACAGAATAAGAATTTCTGTGTCAGGACACACTTTGATTAGCTTTCACACTTTTAATTTTACCCTTAAAGAACAATTTAAAACTGAACATTTCATTTACAATGGTGATGTAAAGACCTTGGCTTAATCGGAAATATTTTAGGGTCTTATTCAGAACGAGGAGGTTGGCAAAACTAATACAAATTCACATAATGTCACTGACTCTAAATTCTTCACTAAAAAAGGGCTCAGTGGAAAATATTTGCCCCAAACAAATTATGATTACTAGCTAATCAAAATTAATCATTACTGATTAGTCTGCTTTTTGATAAGACTCACAGAACAAATCAATAGTGCGCATGGATTTGGGCAAGCCTTTTGTTCTTTTGGGTGGTGTTTTGGAGATATTTCCCTTGTGTATGAAGTTCCCTATACTGAAGATGCTTTTGATGAAATACTCTGATGGAGTTTCTGTGTTTGCCCTGATATTTGATGAAAGCCAAACTTTCACCTGTAGATGACACTTAAGGCAAAAAAGATTCTCTCTTAGAGTGAGAGGTATGAATGAAAAGAGTGTTTTGTATGAAATAGACTTGTACCAGAAGTACATAAACTATTAATTCAAGAACTAGGAAGGGAATCCCCTCCTGGTTGAGTGATTAATTTCTGTTTTCCTCACTGGTCCATGTTAAATAAGCAGAAAGCCTCTCCTCTCCATAGGAGACATTACAACAATATTCAGGCAAAAACCTCTTACATTTTGGGTGTATACACCTACTGCTGATGGGCAAACGTCTTGCAGCTTCCACCACTTTCTGGTCTGTGACCTCACTCAGCTACTCCTCCCACACTGCAGGGATCTGGGGAGTCTGTTTTATCATATGTCTAGGGTAACTACAGAGTTTTGCATGATCAAAAACTACAAACTAGAGTTTTGCAACTCAAAAACTAAAATAAAATCAAGAAATGCTTGTTATTTTCTGTGTGAACAGAAGACTTCTCCAGAATCATCAGTGAAGCAGCTTTCATAGCTGAATTGTAACAGTTAAGAGTAGCCACTCCAAAAGCATTCCAGCAGCCACCATCACTGCATTTCAGCTTTTTGTGATATGAATTAGAAGCAGATGATGATGTGTGACATATCTGAAAAGGTATGTAGTTAGTTTAGGATAAACCTTAAGCTTTCTTGGGTTAACCAAATAGTCTTATTACATTTTTTGGTACACTGCTGAAAACAATCAGCTTATTGTAAAGTAATACCTTGATGTATAACATGTGAGTTTTTGATTTATTTGAGACTTTATGTCTTCAATTGTACAGTTAGTCTGGTGCCCCAGGAAGAGCACAAATCTCAAGAAGAAAATAGAAGAAACATAATGGGAAAATACTAAATCTTTTTTTTTGATGCAGCAACTACTTCAGTTGCATGTATTTACGCAGTTAGTATCTGTACAGACTTACTTATATATATGTGGGTTTTCCTCTAAAACATCTCTAGGTTTAAAAATTCAAGCTGTTTGTACATGGTAAGGAAATTACAGTAAATTACAAAATGTGATCAGATAAATTAGAAGGAGAATTTTGAAGTCTGAGCCACAATCATAGTACTAAATGCTTTCAGATTATGGCAACTACCCTATAAATATCAGTGCACATAGGCAAAACACCTCTTTCTGAAAGGAAAAAAAAAAGTTTAATTTCCAAATGATTTTGAATTAAAATTCTACTCATGAATATACATTTTCAGTTTACCCTTTTACAATGAAAACTTTCTTAATTCAAGTATGTTAGACTAAACCTTAGGCTGAGAGTGGAGTGTTAGTGAACAGTTAGGATCTTACTCAGTAAAATGGGATATGACAGGATTTTTGAAAATTATACTTTTAAAGTTTACTTGAATTAGCCAATAGGTTGCTTTTCCAATGTGATTTCCATGAAATTTCACACTTTTTAAAAAAATGAAATAACTTAACAATGTACTTAACCAACTTTGAAAAAAAAAATCTTGCAGTTAGCCACTAGAGGGTGTAAATACCTATCCTCCTCCTCCTCCACACAGGCAAATGACAGGGAGTCTTCTAGGGCTGCCAGGCTGTGAGGCCTAATTGTTATTTGCTTGTATAAGACACGTCCAAAGAAATGAAACTCGCATGTCACAGCTGAGCAGATGGGAGTATGTGATTATTATGTAAGGAAGGGTAAGGCTTAATCTCAGATCAAATCATTATGTCAGTCTAATTAAAAATATTTAAAAAAAATTTTTTTTTTTGTTAAAGTTTACGCTATAGTAACTGGAAATAAAAAGTATAATGGGCAAAATAAAACAGCAGCACAATAAAGTATTTAATTATGGCTTTAGTGAAGAAATAAAGTGCTATTTAAAGAAATAAACAGTGAAACATGAGAAATAATCTTTACTATACTACTGAGAAAATGCCAGAGAAACAGACTATTTTGTTTTAGCTACCTGACAGGCTTTTAATGAAATATGTAGTTTCAAATTTTGGAAATTGAGCTGTTACATGCAGTAAATATGTGCTAATATGTTACCATGATGTATTGCATATTTGGGATTACTTGGAGATACCAAAGTCACTGTAGACCAATATGGTATTTTAAAGAAAGCACTGCTTACCCCAATTGACTGAGGGCAGATGGTGGCATATTATGTAGGTGTTGCTGTTGCCAGCCAGTCACAGAACCAAGATGAAGAGCACTGGCTGTATTAAACCCAGAGAGAGATGATATATCTGCACTACTCAGAGAGTATTCTAGATTTGAAAATAGAAAAGACAACAATTAAAAGAGAATTAAGGAGGAAGCAATTAAACAACAACTAACATCATAATTCTCATATGTCACTTTATAAGCCTTTCAATTTTAATTACACCCTTCATATTAACTTATGAAAGGAAGAAAAAGCTAGACTAAGCTAGAAAAGTAGACTCTCCTCTTCAGTCAATTCATTAATTTGGAAGTAAATAATGCACTAATAATCACTCTGTAATTTACCAGAGCTTTTTTTGCATCTGCAAAGTCCAAAACATTCTTACCCTACACATGCACCATAGCCCTGAATGGTTTTGCATAGAGCCAAAGACTTCCAAAACACCATGGTATCTCAGTTAAGGTTTCCTGTGCAGAACCCTGCATCTGAACAACGCGTGTTGCTCCTATAGAAGCATCAGGCCTACGTATCATATGGTGCCAATGTGCAACGGGAACTGGAAAGCATCTCTGGGGCCTTCATTTTTAGTACTCTCCAGGTAACTGTATGATAGGTCCCAAACTTCCTGCACTCCAGTTTTAAACCAGAAAAACCACTTGCTCCCACTGCCCTTATAGTTTTAGGAAGACGCGTTCAAGAACTAGATGAAATTATCTGTTGTATTAAGAGGATTGAGTAGTTTGACTTAAGTCACATTTCTTATAAAAGCCACTGCAGGAAAGCTATCAAGGCACTTTTCCCTTTGAACAAAACTATCATTTCTCAACTAGCTCTGTCTTCAGCCAGTGATATATTCAGACCAGCTGAGAGAAGCATCGGCGCTGCAGTTTTCAGCACAGCCCAACTAATATTAGCTACTTCGCTGTCACCGAGACAGACATTTGCCCGCATCTTGCTCCCTCCCCGCTCCACGTTTCCTCTTGCCCCATACTCACCAGTACCATATGTTGTAGAAATGGCTGATGGGTATCCTCCCATCCCTTGCCCTGGGAGAGTAGGAGTTGCTACGGAAACCACGGGAGTAGCCAGTGACTGAGCAGACTGCGAGTTATTTATCCTCTGATTCTTTTAAAATAAGTAAAATAAACATATTATCGACCGGGTTTTGGTGTAGTAGTTTTCTGGGTATGTTTTGCACAAGAGGAATACAAGCTGATACAGATTTCTAGAAATCAATCATTTAGCATGTGGCTTTTATGAACTCTGCCAACCCTATCATTTACAATCCTTCAAGAGACCAGTTGTCACCATAGTAACCCATTACATCAGTATCTCCTAGGTAACTGAGCTAGTAACAAGCAGGACTGCTTTTATTGCGGGCAGAAAAACAGACTGGTTGACAAACTGATGGAATATGTAAACTCTACTCCCATGGTTTTGCTTTCCATTCAAATGCAAAAAATCAACAGCAGCAACAAAACAAATAATAATAAAAAAACACCCCCAAACTGCAAACCCCACTCCTGGATTTTCTGCCTCACGCAGGAGCCCTGTGGCAGAGCTGAACGCTGGACTCTGACCAGCAGATGGTGCTCTCACTACTCCAGTTTTCTAACGACAGGCGCAACTTACAAGAATTGAGAGGTAGCAAAACATTTACGCATTTATCTTCAACGCAGTAGATGCTGTGCTGTACAAATTGCTCTAGAAAACTATTAATTCTGTCAGTTTCAGGCTAAAACATCTGGGCAGCCACCAAAACAACATAATAAGGCAGTGTCATCCTCAAGAGCATAAGTTTATACGCTAGCAAAGCATCTAGGACAGGAAAGCTCTGTTTTAACACGCATATGTGCAACAAGTGCATGTTTTTCCTCTGTATGTACTGCTAGATTTCAGGAGTGGTGATTGGCACTCTTGTTCATAATACAGTAATGGTAAAGTTTTCCCTTTTTGTTTTACCACAACGTCATCTACAGAGACAGAAGAATTTTTTTTCATTATTAAGACAAACATCACTACCACTTACCAAAAGCAGATCAACATCCTCAGACTGAGAGCATAGGAGAGGAGCATTAAAAATAAGTGAGCGGAAGCATGTACCAGGATGCAGACATAGCATAGCAAAACGAAGAGCTTCACCTGATAGGAGGGGCAAATTAAATACTTTCTGAGCTTAGCTCAGAAAAAGAGCAGTTTCTAGTTGTGATCTTTGTCCTTCTGATGAGATATGTGTCTCAACTGTGATGACAATCCATCCAGTTTTCAGCACAAGTCATTGGCTTAGAATTCATTATATTTTCCACAGCCCCAGTGGCTGCAGGTTATGTTGCTATACTGGTTTTAAAGAGATCTGAGCATTCACAGACTCCCTTGGAAAGTATCAGTTTTAAGGACCTTGGAATAAATCATTTGATGGAGACAGTCTGTCACTGCCTTGGTTGACTTTGAGTATAGACCTGTAGGAGACTATTTTATTTCTCATCCTCTCAGAAAACAGCAGCGCGTTTATGGGGGTTTAGTTTGATACTCAAAGTTAATTTATAATGCATCAACCTATAGCAGCCGACTTGGAAATTGTTTTAATAGCTTGTCTGTTACATAATGGAAAAACGTGTTTATAGCGTCACTGAAATTCACCATCAAGATCCTTTTTCTCTCAAGCCCATTTTTAATGCTAAATCATTCATGGAAGACTTACTTGCAACCACTAAACCACTTTCAGTAGGGAACTGAAATGTACTCACATGACACTCTAATGATTCCACCTTCTATCATAATACTCTGCTTAAATGTTGTTAATCCTGGCAGGCAATACACTGTTTGATGCTCTAGTTTAACCTGCTCTACCTGTTTACTGCCTCTTTATTGCCATCATTATAAAATTTTGCCTTTGGAGTTCAGGGGGACGGAATTTAAATTCATTTATTTGTAGTTAACTAGCCATTGGCTGAGCATCTCAATGGCTACATATTTAGGAAAAATACAGTGTATTAGGAAGGCACAGTCTTTATAACAAGTCCAGGAATCAGTCTTTGTAACAAGCCCAGGAAAGGATCTCCCAGCTACTAAGAAAAAAGAGTACAGAAGCTTAGACTGTGCAGGGCTCAGTTCTCATTTTGCAACTCAATAGAAAAAAAAAGGAGGAAATAAAAATGACTTCATAAAACCAAACAAACACTGTCTGCCTACATCCTCAGCACAATATAAGGCCTAAAGGCTAGACAGACCAAGCAAGGAAGAACACGGAATGTTTCCCACCAATTTTAGTGGGCTTACCAAGCCCTGAGAATCTTAAAATATCTGTGATCTGAACGACAGGAAAAAAAAAAAAAAAAGCTTTGAAAATGCATTACCACTGATGGCATTGTATTCTTGCTGCCAGGTGGGATAAGCACACGGAGATCTGGTTTACGGTTGTTCATTCCCAAATTCATCGGGGGCGGAGATTTTGCTTGCATATTCTTGTTCAAGTTGCCAGGTGAGACCAGCAGACCTGGTGAGTTGCGAGGGTTGCCATACCCATTTCCTGTTTAAAAAGGAAAACAAGGTACGAAAAAGAGAGAGAGAAGGGTTGTGAGCGCAAACATTGAAAACTTCAAATAAAAAAAATTAAAGACTTGTGCCACACAATGTCTCTACAGAGGAGAAAAAAAAATCGTACCGTATTTAAAACAATTGGTTTTAAAATTCTCTCCTCCATGGCAGCAGGCATTTTAAGGATGTGCAGAAGTTTAACTCCATTTATAGCACTATGGTATATACCATAACATAATGTTATGGCATTCAGAGCAGGTAAGCTCTAACTTTTGCCTTACAAGAAAATTTAGAAAGTCAGACAATTGTATGTCTTTAAAAATAAAAATAACTCAAAGCTGTGCTGTGTTTTCTTGACAACTACAGAGGATTCTGACTTGCCTGACTCAGCCCTTTCCCGTCCATAATTTTGTTTTGTTTTTAAACAAAGGATGAGTACAACAAAGCTATAATTTCCAGAAAAGGCAGGAGGAGGAATAAAAAGATTCTTAAATGTTTTTGGCTCTCTTTCCCCACACTTTTTGGACTTGACTCTGTCAACAGCAAAGTCAATGGGAGCAAGAGAGCAAGAGCATGTCCTTTTTTGGAAAATGCCTCCGTACCTTTCATCTTCCTTCCTCTGCCACTTTTACAAGCTCCAGTTCAGTCAGACACGTGCTTCATGCATTTTTTTTTCCAGAAACAGATTTCCTATAGTCACTAAGCAATCCTGACAATTGTCTATCAGTACTGACAGTGATCTGCCATCCTACCAAGACCTCCTTTTTTTTCATCCAATTTCATCTCCTACCCATACAAGTCTGGGAAAAGAGGTGATCTTTTACTGCTTGCTTGAAATTCCTTCTATACAGGGTGAGAAGTGACACAGAAACTGCCTGCTCATAGTGAGGAAAGAGTATAAACACTTATACAGAAAGAGAAAAATTTCATGTGTAAGTATCAAGGAAATGAATCTTAGAAAAGACATTCTGTTCGCTTTGGTTCTTTGGAACTTTGGCTCACAGCTAGCAAGCTGCGACATAACCTAAAAGTAGTGTGGGGAGAGGGGCTAGTGAGCACAGAGCAGACCTTGGAATTACAAGTCCTGGACCTGCAGGATTCCCTTTGTCGTCCCAAAGTCAGTGAAGCACTCAGTAACTCATGGTTTTCACATGTGAAACGGGGCTACAGACCTAATGCACATAAATGTATTATGGAGCCAAATTTGATGGAAGTCTAGGAGCTAGCCCTAAAAGTAACAGTAAATGAGAGTGAATCTGTTTTCTGCTTTGGATAATGAAGTGTGCCCAAGCATGACATTAAATCTGAATTTTAATTTGCAAGCACATAGACTAATTGTATGTATTAAATCAGCAAATTTATGGGGAAGAGAATTGACCAAGGGCTACTGTATTCAAAAATACCAGCTTAAGCTCTGGAAAACCCTGACCTGTGAAAACTAAGGTTGGGACACAGGGTATCATCATGTGCTTGACTCCCATAATGTTTGTGCACCTACTATTTAGCCACTGGTTTCTTCTGGCTTTTTTATTCCTATGCTTTTAATTATAATGATCTTTCGACTATTTCCAAAAAGAATTAAGATGAAAACTTAAAAACACTCGGATTGCTCAGATATTAAACAAAACTATTCTTTGCAGTTAATCTAATTATTATCTTACAGTCAGTGAGATGAAATGTGTTAATTAAAATAAAGTGTATTTTACATCTAGAAGCTGAAATAACTCAGCACAAGACAAGAAGTTTCCATTTCATTTCAGTAGGCTATTTTTTAAATGAACAATTGCCTTCCATATGGATTTGCTATATTTTAAGCTCTAATTAATTGTACGTGTTATTGCAATACAGGGGCATTTTAAATATGTACTTTTTTTTCTAGAAACTACAGTGCCTTTTAAAAGCTGAACAGTGCCTTGAAAAACTGAACACCAAAAACACTAAATACTGAAAGAACAGTTATTATGTGGTGAAGCGGTAAACAGAAGAAACTGAAGCAGAAGTTGTTTCTCTGGTGCTGGCTTCGTACAGGAGCTATTTCACCAAAAGGAAGTAAAACTGCCTTGTGAAATCTGTTGCATGACAAGCATTTTCTAAGAGTGTGAAAATGAACCTGTTTGAAGAAACAGTGTATTTTTTTCCATTTTGCAATATATGACCTAAAGAATTTAAAGACATCATGCTTTGAGGTCTTCATCTATGTTTTTAAGCTTGTGATTTTTGGAAAAAAAAGAAATCTTTACAAGAAAGCTCTCCTGTTTTCCACAGGAGATTTATTTAATGCAATTTTCTATTAAGAATTGAGAGAAATAATAATGCATCCCAACCAAGTTATAGCACTCAGAAACATCAGCCAGACCTTCAGTATTATTTACGCTCTGATGTAAAATATTTTGAACAGTGACAACCTTTCCTCCGTTTATATTTTTAGAACATCAAATTATTTTTAAGAACTACTGCAACCCTCCTTCCACCAATAGATTTCTGCTGTTCATGGCATATTATGCCAGCTAGCATTTTGGAGCCATATAATAACTATTCCTCCTTCCAGCCACCAAATTGTTATTCTTTTGGTATAATGTGGATTCAGGAATGCAAGACTGTGGACCTTAAACCGATGATATAGAAACCTCTCATTTGAAAATCAGGGATGAATACATGCATGCGGTTTACAGCTAAGAAGAGTCTGAATTTAAACCAGCTCTTTAAATTGTATCCTCCTTACTCAGAAAGCTGTGGCTGCTCTGGGGCAGCTCTCCCACCTTTAGATAAATCCACCAAAGAGAATGGTCTCATTTACATCCAGAGGCAAAAAAAAAAAAAGTATAAGACTTCTAATATACAGATTAAACATTTCTTCATCCTATACTTTAAAATTACACTCTGCCTGGACAATTATCAATTTAGATGTGACTCTATGCAGAAAATCGCATTCCACTATCCACTTGAAAGCGCAAAAATTATATGTCATGTATGAATGGATTTCCTGATTATAGATTATGAGAAAATGAAGACCAGATGGATTTTAGAGCAAGTTGGCTTTACATCTTTATTTGGTTAAAAGTCATTTTTTTGCTGGAATAGAACATTTTAAAACATTACAGATATAACTTGTAATGCGTAATGAAAATAAAAACAGTGGATGCACAAGTTTTAAAGGGCGTATGTCAGAATCTGTATTTAAAAGTTTTCAGAGAAAATGATTTTTCCTAGTGTTGTTTGTTAAACTGATTTAAGAGAATAAAAATATTTTACGCATAAAATAACTTGTTTCTAGACAGAACTAGTGGAGCAGCATGCGTCATGAAATGCAGTGCCAGACTTTGTATTTGAACTAGTAGCAAAATATAAAGACAAATGCTTTCTGAGCATGGAATGCTCTTCTTGGGCATGTTCCCAGATTCTGCAATTAGGCACAAGTGCCATTGACTTTACAGGAGTTTTGTCCAAGTACAGATTGCATGATTAATCTCTATGATATCACTTATAAAACTCACACCCAGAAAAGCTATTTTTATGCACCAGTAGCTAGTCAGTTGATAAGAATTAATACAAAATACTAATCTGCTCATGGAAAGCTACTATATGAACTATGCTGCAAATTCAAATACTACTATCTTAAATATTCACTTCTGTGCTGTAAAAATGCAACAACAGCAATAGGGCGTAAGTTTAAAGAGAAGAGGAGAAACAGCAAAGTTTATTTCTCTTCTTTCATTGCCCATCAGCAGCACCTGCACCTTACACCGTTTTAGTCATTCTCATGGCAGTTGTTGCAAAATGACTGCAGTTCTTGAGATTCTCTGAAGCAGCACTGAGCTGCTCTCCTGAGCATTTAAGCCTGGAACATTTCCACATGTCAAGGTAACACAAATGAGGGAGGAGCGAATAATTTATTTACACATCCCTCAATATTCTTGAAGGGTATTATCACAAATTCAAAGTTTGAAAGTTCAAAATATTGGACAAATTTTGTATTTTGATTTCTGGAATCTACTTGATCCTTTTATCATGATAAAGAAATAGAAATTCATTGAATAAATAAAACATTTTAGTCCTAGAAAAATTAAGAGTGAGACACACACTAAATATTTCCTGTTTTTGCTCTTTTTCTTCAGTTTAATGGTTTTCTCTCACTGACCATACAGGTTGAGAATTTAGAAGATCTTCAGGAACTAAGGACGTATACTTGCCAGTAATTTTAATAAGAACTTTCAAATTCTTTAAGGAGTTTTGGTAAATACTAGTGGTCATTTCAAGCTCTTTAAACAAGCATATGCTCTTACTTGTGGAAATTATCATAATCCTTCCAAGAAGAGTATGTTCAATACGCATCCTGTACCTATGACATGATGATTGACCACTAAGCCTCTTAAGAGGGATGTTAGAATTAGAACGAGTCTACATGAATTGAGACCCAACTATATTATAATTTACCCGTGTCTTTAAAATATACAAAAAGAAAGGAAATATAATGAATGCAACGATAGAATTTTGCCACATTTATACTCAGTTTTATAGTCTTCACTTGATTCAGTCCCCCCCCCACCACCTAAAAGAATGTCAATTGTGCCTACTAGTAGCTATTAGGTGCCTTTTCTCTGACGTCATTTATATGGTTAGGTTTTACTGTTCAAGACCCAAACAAAATAGACACCAACTAATAGACAATAATGCAATAATGTCAGCAAGTTGTACTTGTGTTCATCTAAATCGAATTTTTGAAAGAGGTAACTGAAAGTTCTTATTCACATTTTGTATGTTAGTCATTTCACAGTACATGATCTTTACTAACTGTGAACAGCAGATGAAAACCAATCTGGAAACACACTCCCCCACAGAAAGACAATCTTTACATTAAAGTACCTGTCCATTTCCACATTTCCCTGATGGACCTTCTTTACTCAATTACTGGCAGTCACCTGAGACAGACATGCTATATAAAAGCTACTGACTTTGCATGAAAGAATTCACAGGCATCTTGTGAAATATCAG